GAAAGCCCGCAACTGGCTCAAGGACGCGGAGTGGCGCCTTCAGGACGACGGGACCATGGGAAAACGCGACCGAGGGCCAAGTCAAAGCCGTCAAGACCGTGAGAGGGACAACAGGTCCAGGGGGGATCGGCGTTAGGAAAATTTTGTAAGTTTTGTATATTTTGTTTTGTAAGTTTAGTATGTTTTGTTTTGTAAGTTTTGTTTTGTATACAGTTGTAAAAATGGGAAATAAATGCTATATGCATAATGGTACATATATCTACTTTAAAAACCCAATCAGAATGCAATGCATGAATGACTGCTCATAGAGGGGGCGATCAGCACCGTGGATGCATGGTCGAATGAATGGTAGTATCGACGTGGCATCGACATCGTGTTGATATCGCATCGACGTCGTAACGACGTCGATACAGACTCGAGTCTTCGTCGAATCGATATCCAAACGAAGTTCTTATGAGAGGTACATAAATTCATCGAAACGACTTATATTTCGAGGAACAATTCGACAATCTATATCGAAGTCGTATCGACATCGAACCGATGAGTTACTTCTGGTTGGGTTTTTAATTTAAGTTTTTTGTTACGAAGGAGTGGCAAACAGATTTTTTTAAGTTGATTGTTGGAAAGCACAGTTTGTGCACAGTTTTTTAGGATAGGTCGCAAAAACTGTGCTTGAATGGGTCCCGCCAACTTTACGGAGGTCCTCAACCCGCCTTGCCCGGTCTCGCCCGGCTTGCCCGGCCCCGGCCCGGCGCTGCTGGCGCTCGCCCGCATCTCCGCCACCGCCGCCTCTACCACCGCAGCGGTAGCGCCGAGCAGGTGGACCGGGCTGCGTTCGAGCTCGGGCGGCGGCCGGAACACAAAACTCGAGCGCTACTGTCGCGACAAACGACGATCGCAAGGAGCGCGTCAATTCAATTTCGATATTGCCAGCCGATTTTCGAGTTCAGGCGCTTTGTTTCCTTTTATTAACCATTCCATTGATTGATCGGTATAAATAGTACAACAAAATTTGCTATAATTCCCCAATTTAAATAAAACTGTGTACTCAGTTTGCTACAAAGAACATAGTCACTAGAGGATTGAGCGTATAGGCACAGTAGCACTAACAAATTAATATTAAATCAAAAGAAGTAATTGTGTACAATTGTTTTGGTTGTGAGGTGACATATGACTGGAACTTCAATCAATTTTTTTAAAAAAATAAAGGTGCTTTCACAATGAATTAGTGTCTCATTTTAAAAGATTATTAGCTAGAAAGGCAATAAGTTGCGAGTCCTTGAAGGAAGTCCTGAAGTATGTCCTGTTTTTGTAATCGTTCAAGAAAAGAAATTTAATGGATTGTGTTCATTTGTATGTAGAGTGTAATATCATTGAGGAAAGACTTATAAAATAGACTTCATCATTAGATTATATTTATTATTTTTATTTTGGGGCCTTTACAGTTGGGGTATCACAGCAGATCATTTTCATAAAAACTCAGTAATAAAATAACAATTACAATAAAAGCACAGTTGAATCAAGTTGGAAAGCATTATTTTTCCTGTACCATACGTACCAGTTTTGTGTTCTTTGCGCACTCCCCCTTCGGTCCAATCAATCAATCAATAGACCCTATTCGGTCTCGACTAAAAGAGAAGAAGACAGGAATCCCGACCGGAACCAGTTACGAAAAACAACGCTATTTTAACGTTTAAATGGGTTTGGAAGGTAAAAGCACAATCCACAATGTTTGTGATAATTTCTTATATCGGGTTTGCAAGTTTTCTCGCGAAGAAATGGCAGCATAAAGGTACTGGTTCCGGTCGGGATTCCTGTTTTCTTCTCCCGGAGCTGAGACTGAATAGGGTCTATTCACTTGAGCAACATATCAAAGAAAACTATGTATACTTGTTCTGTCAAGCAGTTGTTGAGTGAGCTTTTTTTTACCAGACTGTCATTAAATTCAAAGATTGCAGATTTTCCTGTTGAGCAAATGGCCAGTATTTTTGGTTCCTCTGTGGACAACTACTACTGACCGTAATTTGTATACTGTCCTTTTCCTCTGTGACTTGTGCATAAACTGGGTCATGTTCAGTGTAGGTTTCACATTAACCAAGTGGTCCAGCTTCTGACCATCATTACAAAATCTGGAATTCATAAATTATTATTTTCATGAGTTCATATATTGACTATGAAAACTTGTCACATCATATTGTAGGAGTGAATTTACCTCTTGAAGTGAACACACAGTGTTGAGGGCTGCTTCTCCAAAAAGTACTGTCTGAATGCTTCCACAACCATGTCCCATTCACTACATTTGTAGCCTGCAACCAATTCTGGAGAGAAGTATGCCTTGAGGCAACTATCGAGATTGTTGTGTCCCTCAATCTCAGTGGACAGGTCCATGAACTGCTGCAGAGTCAGGGAGATGTTCTGACAATTCAGACAAGTGACTAGAAAACAAGGAAAATCATGAGCAGGTAATTGCAGTGTATTCCTTAGTTAGCATTAAAACAGGTATGTCATGAGGAAACTCACCTTCAGTTCTGAGATATCCCCCAAACACAGCATGGATTGGGGTTGTCTCCTGACTTCTTAAATCCAACCTAAAGGAAAATTTTGACACACAAAAAAGCAGGTTACTGGAAAGTTGGTTCGACTACCTGTGTACTGAGTGAGCCTTACATTAGCTAAACAGGTACATCAAATGAATGCTCTATACTTACTGCAGGTGCTTAAATCTGCTGGCATACTCCTCTTGTAGCCTGCTGAGTAGTAGACGTGAAAACTCATGAGCATCATTTTCAGCATCAGGTAAGAAAAGATGAGACAGTTCTGCACAAAAATAATAATTTTTAGAATATTTCTTGTAGAATTAGTATACACTGAAATGATGACAACGAATATTATGCTACCTGATACCCTCTTCACTATCAATGAAGGCTCAACAACTTGCATTAAACTCTTGTTCATTGTAGCTCTCAGTGTATGAGACAAATTACAGGTGAAGCAATCTTGGCATGAGTTTTTGTCGTGAAGGAGCCAAGTGGCAAAAGCAATATTGTGGAAAAGGATCTAGAATAACACAGTTAATTTATGTATTATTGAGAAACTAAATTGGCCAACATCATTTTCATTGAGTTAAGTTACAATATGTATTACCTGGAGAATGGAGTTCAAGTAACAGGTATGGCCCATGTTCTTGAGGCCAGTACCAACGTCACTTCTTAAATTTAAAGAGGAAGGTGGAGGATACATTACAACTTGAGGTTGCATTACCTTTTGCACATCAGACTGTCGACAAAAGGTACAGTGAAATTATACACACACAAACATCAATGTGAAAAAGTTATGTATTGTCATTGTTTGGTCACCTCAAATGAATATTCTTGTACTGTAAGCCGTTTCCTAAGAATTTCATGAGATATTTGGTTTCTAAATCTCGCCATAATTTCGTCTGAACGAATTTCACCAGCAATATTACATGATTTCCCTTCTAGTATACGCCGAGCGTACCAGCAGATAAATCCACCACAACTGTAGGTATCAGTAGGGATTTGAGATTTGAGGTAGGATGTTGGTGGCATGCAAAATTTTCCACTTGATGCTTGGAAGACCATGCCTTTGTGCATATCTAGTCATGTAAGACTTGACCACCTGCGGAGGATTGGAACATAACATTATAACGCTGAAAGTGTTTGGTTTCATTAAGTATGTCATACATACTAAGTTGTACAAACCTCCATGCCCTTAGTGTTTCTCCCACCTCTGTTGTCATAATATGTTATTGTTTTCTTGTCAGGCCTGGCAAGGCAGAGACACCAGTGATTTCCAAGGTGTATGGGAACAAATGTAGTGGTTACATCAAGGAGTTTGCCCTAAATATAGACATAAGTAACAGCTTCAATTTACAATTGCAGTACCTCAAGATACATTCAAACAATGCAGCATACATACATGGCTATACCAACTATCCGCTCTATCAGAATGCTTAATTAATGTGGTGTACAAATGAGAGTCTAGACACTGTACAGGTATACTCTGGACAGAGGCTGATGAGCCATTACTGAAGTGCATCCGTAACAGACAGAAGTAGAAATTAATTACCTGGAAAATTAAAGTAAATTAGTTTTCAGACTGTATAAAATATAGAAGTGCTGTTTAATAGGATGTAAAACGTACCTCGTCATTTAACCAAGTAGTCCCTGAAAGTGTCCGAAGGTCCATCACCCTGACTTTGTATTGACTGCAGGTGACCAGGAGAGTACCATCAGGAAGTTTTAGTGTGTCCTAGAAAATAAACAGACGTTGGCATGCAATGGATGTTGAATGGCTGTAAGTGGTGCTGAAGAACAAGCAATTTGAATGATACCTTAAGGGATCCAGCATTAGAGTCGTTGTATAGAGGAACTTCTCCACTCTCAATCTCATCATTGTCTGATAATACAATCACATCACCTTGTGGATGTTTTTCATTGTGGGGTGACACACCAGTGTCTAGGGCATCACAGAGAGCCAGCAAAGGAGATTCCTAATATAAAGTTATAATATCAGATTGACTCTCCTTTGCCCAAAACACTACCAATGCATCCTCCAAATTAATCGGGGTACTGTCACTTGTTGTAGGCAAAGATTCCGCTTTTTCTGCAACCTGCAACAATGAAGGAGGGCGTGACTGAAATATCACACAACAGCTACTTGAGGAAACCTACTTTGCGTGAAGAAAAATGAAAATTTTTCAATTTTCCAGACAATACTTCATCCATCATGTGGGCACGAAAAGATTCAAAGTGCGTTTTGTCAAAGTCACAGGGACTGCACTCAATTATTCTGCGTGCATAGGCAGCAATTAGCACGCTGCACATTACATGGTCATGATTCACCATGACATTCACCTCATGACAGCTGCTCCACCCACTCCAGTTCATTTCTGTGCCATTCACAGACAAATGACATTGTTGGAGGTATTTCCTAACTTCCTGAAAAGATAGAAAAGCCAATAACATTCAATTAATAGGAATAATATGTATGTGAAAGAATGTGAAATGTAATTGTACCTGTAAGCACTCCTGGTGTTTCCTTTGCATGCTACCATAGTATACGATTGACTTGTCCTTTGGCTTCACAACACACAGGCACCAGTAGAGCCCTAAGTGTACCGGGATGAAGACTACCTCCCACTGAGAGAAATCGATCTGGAAGTAATGTAATTAAGTATGGACAAGGTGATAAGACAAGTTAATGCAACTACACTGTAAATCCGGGGTGCCCAGCAGGTAGGCGACAAAGTCGCCTGACCCGCAAAACTAGGCGACTTATGTCGCCTATCTGCTGGACATCTTGTTCTTCCGGGCAATTGCATTGTATGAGTCCATAGTCATTCCACCAACTGTGTCCATGCAATTACCCGGAAGAACAAAAGATGTCCAGCAGATAGGCTTTTGGGGGCTTTTTGGGAGAATTTTTGAACCTTGGATGGCCCCATTCACCCCCTTAGGGGTGGTGGCCAGGATTTGCCGTAGGCGTTTCGTTCTCTAGGAGTAGACCTTAAGATAACCTGAAAATTTCAAGTCTCAAGCACATCTCCTTCTAGTGGAACAGACAGACACACAGACACACATGAGGTAGTTTGCATAAGCCCGCTGGATAGCTTTTTCAGAGCAGAAGGGCGGGCTAAAAACAGGTATTTGCGCCTGTGGTGACGTCACTTAGACTGCCTGCACTACACGCCAGTAGCGCATCGTAGCCTAGTACACAGGCGTACACCGCTACCTGGCACGCAACATAGTTTTGGATAGGGCATGGTACGGCCTGCGTTTTGGCAAAAACAACATGATTGTTTTTACCAATTTTGGCTGCCAGGAGCAAGCTGCGCGGCCCGCAATGTTTCGGCCCCTGGGCACGCCCGGTCAATCGCAAGCTCGGATTCACCATGTTGGATGTGTAGTAGGACCCATGGTCACAATCTAAACCCGAGACATTTCCTCTGACCCCACTGCGTCAGCACGGCAGAGCCAACAATATGGCGGGTCGTCGCTCGTCAATTTCGAGCCCGCTCAGATAATCGCAATGCGCGTCGGGTAAATGTTATCGCACAGAGCCCAAACTTTGCACAGGGTCTCTTCTAGGCAGAGTTGTGCATGCGAGGCAGAATTCTGCCTCGCGCTGCCTCGCAGCCGAGTTTCCCTTGCCTCGCGCCTGCCTCGACTCGCACTCGCCAGCCGAAGTTCTGCGAGCCGCGCCCCGGACCTGCGAGCCTCGCAATGTGCGAGGCAGGTGGTGCCTCGCAGAGCGGAGATGGAGATAACCAGTGACCACCTACACCTTTCCCGCCAAACTATCGGCGCTGCCATTGGCTGGCCACGCTAAAACGATGGTGGCAGCGAGTGGCGCATGGTGCGCGAGGCGCGGTTACTCGCGCAGCCTCGCAGCAAGGCTGCCTCGCGCGGTCCAGTCCCGGATACATCCGAAGATGGGAGCCATTTCCCGAAGCGGCTGCCTCGCGGCCGATTCTGCGAGGCAGCGCGAGGCAGAAGTCTGCCTCGCATGCACACCTCTGCTTCTAGGCCTAAGATTTCATTTGAGGTGCCGACCTCTAAAATCACCAACTTCGAACACCAAATTGGAATGGCCTAGCCCCCCCC